AATATAAAGAAATGCATTATCCTTGATAACACTTAAAAAAAATTTGAGATGGTGCATTTTGCTAGCACCTTCACAAAGCAGATTTCGTGTTTTAAGGATCTTCATCCATCCTTGCTTTTAAACTTTTTGCCAGTTTTATATTTCCAAACCTACAGTGGTTTGATGATACGTAAGGCCTAAAGCATGCCATTTTGTATCTTTTCTATTAGGTCATGGCCATTTGACATCAGAAGGCATAAGAGCACAAACATGGACTATGCCCTCACTCTTACATACAGTATAATTTTTTTGTGCATTTGCTGTTTTAGTTATTGAGTTTATTTTACCATAAGTTGCATTCTCTTTACGACGCCATAGAGTTTTTTCCGGAAATTACTGCTCTGGTGCGTAACGCAATTTACGCAATAAGCCATTTTAAGCAATTGGCGTAAAGGCTTACACCATGGGGCGTACGCACTGGTGTGCACGATGACGCATACACCATTTACTGTCTCAAAATTAGAAAATCAAATGTTAAAGTTGTCATCCTACTGTTTTTGTGTTAGTAGCTTCGTCTCTGCTTTGCTTTTTGGTGCTGTTGTGTACGTGTAGTGGCGTGGGTTAGCAATGTAGCTATAAGGTCATATCTCGGGGTTGGGACGGGGGTAGGAAGGTCGCTGAGGGGTAGTGTAGTGTCACATGTGCGTTTCGGCTCATGGAACATAGGGACCCTCATAGGTAAGTCAATTGAGTTGGTGCAAGTTCTCAAGAGGAGAAGGATTCAGGTGGCATGCGTGCAAGAAACCAGGTGGGTGGGCACTAAGGCGCGAGAGGTTGATGGTTTCAAACTGTGGTGTTCAGGTTCAGCTAGGGGAAGGAATGGAGTCGGTATTCTGGTGGCGCCAGAGCTGCGAGAGTTTGTGGTGGAGGTCAAGAGGATTAGTGATCGTCTGATGTTTATCAAGTTGGTTTTGGGTGGGTGTGCGATTAATGTCGTGAGTGCTTACGCCCCGCATGTTGGCTTGGCAGACGAAGTAAAGAGGGAGTTTTGGGACGCCTTGGATGGGGTGGTTGTTGGTTTTCCACTGACTGAGAAAGTCATCATTAGAGGCGACTTCAATGGCCATATTGGAGAATTGGCTGAGGGCTTCGAGGACGTGCATGGTGGTTTTGGCTTTGGCAGCAGGAACCCAGCGGGAGTTTCACTCTTGGAGTTTCCCAGAGCGAGTGATATGGTGGTTGCTAACTCTTGTTTCCCTAAACGAGACGATTGTTTGGCTACATTTGTTAGTGGAGTGGAGACGGCACAGATCGACTATCTTCTCCTGCGCAGGTGTGATCGGGTGCTCTGCAAGGATGCTAAAGTAATTCCGAGTGAAAACATCACTACCCAACACAAGCTTCTGGTGATGGATGTCATGATCAGGTGGGTGAAACATAGGAGAGCTTTGAGTGGCAACATACAAATCCAGTGGAGGAGACTAAGTGGGGAGAATATCTCTGAGTTGATCAGGCACTAGGAGAAAGGTGCGTGGGAATCGGCCGGAGAGGCTATTGATATGTGGGTGCGGACTGCTAACTGCTAACGACCGTTTGGCTACATTTGTTAATGGAGTGGGGACGACACAGATCGACTATCTTCTCCTGCGCAGGTGTGATTGGGTGCTCTGCAAGGATGCTAAAGTAATTCCGAGTGAAAACATCACTACCCAACACAAGCTTCTGGTGATGGATGTCATGATCAGGGAAGTGTTAGGTGTGAGCTCTGGCTCTGGGAGTAGGCGTCAGGGTGATTGGTGGTGGAGCGATTTAGTCTGAAGTAAGGTGGAAAAGCTAAGAAGGTGGCATATTTGAGGTACATGGGCTGCAATGTTGAGGAGGAAAGAGCGGCGTTACGAGTGGAGTACAAGAAGGCACGTAAAGAAGCTAAGTTAGAGGTTACGAGGGCAAAGAATGCCGCTTTTGAACGCCTCTACAAGGATATTGAGGAGAAAGGCAGTGTTAATCCACTGTTCTGGCTTGCTGAGGTGCGTGACAGGAAGGCCCGAGATCTGGACCACGTGAGATGCGTGAAGGGCAGCGATGGTAGAGTGTGAGTTGAGACTGCCAAGGTGGCTAAGCGCTGGGGGGAGTACTTTAGTGAACTATTAAATGCAAGAGGAGACCAGAGGCTAGTTCTTGACGAGTTGAGGCCGTCCGGGGTGTCTCGTGTGTATTGCCGGCGCATTTGCCTGGAAGAGGTGGTTCGGGCTCTCCGCGGGATGCGTAGTGGGAGAGCTTTAGGACCAGATGAGATTCCGGTGGAGTTTTGGAAGCATGCAGGTTGTGGTACGTGGGTTTGGTTAACCAAACTCTTCAATGTTATCCTCCGGACAGCAAGGATGTCTAATGAGTGGAGGGAGAGTCTCTTGGTCCCTCTGTTTAAAGGCAAAGGTGACATTCAGAGCTGCGAGAATTACAGAGGCATCAAACTGCTTAGCCACACCATGAAGGTTTGGGAGCGAGTCATTGAGTATAGGGTGCGGAAAGGGGTATGCATCTCTGAGAATCAGTTTGGTTTCATGCCTGGCAGATCGACTACAAAGGCTATTCATCTCGTGAGGAGGTTAATGGAAGAGTATAGGGCTAGGAAGAAGGACCTTCATATGGTGTTTATTGACCTTGAGAAGGCGTACGATAGGGTGCCGAGGGAGGTCTTATGGAGGTGCCATGAGACGAGAGGAGTTCCCATCGTGTACACTCGCGCGATCAAGAATATGTATGATGGGGCTATGACCAGGGTAAGGACTTCCGGGGGTGACTCTGTGTCATTCTCGGTAGGGATGGGGTTGCACCAGGGGTCTGCCCTTAGCCCTTTTTTGTTCGCCTTGGTGATGGACGTCTTAAGTCGAGGTGTTCAAGAAGGGGTCCCATGGTGCATGCTTTTTGCGGATGATATTGTGCTTCTCGATGACACACGTGAGGGACTAAACGATAAGTTAGAACTATGACGCCTTGCCCTTGAGACTAGAGAATTCAGAATAAATAGGAAGAAGACTGAATACATGGAATGTCGTTTCAGCGGCCGGGAAACAGAATCAGAAGTGGAAGTTAGGATTGACTCTCACCTAGTACCTAAGGTAGACAGGTTTCGATATCTTGGCTTGGTAATCCAGGCTGATGGGGAGCTAGACGGGGATGTTGGTCATCGTGTTGGCGTGGCTTGGGCCAAATGGAGGTTAGCTTCAGCGGTGTTGTGTGATCCGAAGATTTCGCCCAGGATGAAAGGTAAGTTCTACCGATCCGTAGTCAGACCTGCTATGTTATATGGGGCAGAGTGTTGGGCGGTTAAGAACACTCATGTGCGTCGTCTCGTCTGCATGCGGCAGAGATGCGGATGTTACGATGGATGTGTGGGAAGACAAGGTTGGATAGGATTTCGAACGAAGTTATCCGATGTCAGGTAGGCATGGCACCGATGGAAGATAAGTTGCGGGAAGCGAGGTTGAGATGGTTTGGTCATGTGGGACAGCGGGATGCTGACGCCCCTGTAAGGAGATGCGACAGGATTACGGTTATCGGGGGAAGTAGGGGAAGGGGTAGACCTAGGAAGAATTGGAAGGAGGTGATTAGGCAGGATTTAGGACTTCTCACCCTGACTGAGGATATGACCTTAGATAGGAACCTTTGGAGAACTAGGATTAGAGTAGCTGGATAGGAGCTCGGTGCTGTATAGGTTGTTTTGTAGTGTCTTGTGTTTGATTGGAATCTTTTGCTATTGCTTGCAGGACTTTCATTTCATTGTACTTGGTGCTTTATCCGTGTTATACTGTGTCCCCTTTCATATTTTCGTGCAGGTTGAGCCGGGGGTCTCTTGGAAACAGCCTCCCTACTTCCGAGTAGGGGCAAGGTCTGCGTACTCACACCCTCCCTAGACCCTACTGTAGTGGGATTCAACTGGGTTCTTGTTGTTGTTGTTGTTAAATGTTAAAGTTGTCAATTACCCAAATTAAGTGTATATATTTTAAAATTACCTTGTCATTGACCTTAATTGCGACACTAATTGCTGCGATTACCAACTGCGATTCATTTTCTTCATCGCGTCAGCCGTCTCTGGTTCTCTCTTTTCCGTCTCCTTCATCGCAATTTAGCAGGTATACAATTTTTTTCCGGCAAATGGTATACGACTAGGTGGCTTACGGCTGTAGGATTTATGATGGAGTATTAATTTATTTTTCTTGCTAAATTTATTCTGGAGGTTTTAATTGGTGTTTTTTTCATGCTTACAGTTTGATGAAGGAGTATTAGATTTTTCCTGCTTACGGATGGAGGTTTTAATTTGTGTTTTTTTTGTTTTTATGATATGTTTTTGCATAGTAATGTATTATTTATTTAGATTTCTCGGAATATTGCTAAAATGTTGGACCCAGCATGGTAATATGGTGTTGACTCAACAACCAAAAACGAAGGACAAAAGTTGAGTTACAAATATGAAGGAACTGCAACATCTTTTTTTCAATTCTTCAATTTAACTATTTAAATTCATCACTTTAGCCAATATTTTGTCTTATTCCATGTTAAACTTTGTTGTGTTTGAGATGTATTACTATGACAATATACTTTTTTAATGTTTCTGCCTTTGTGGATTATTTATATAATACTTTATGTTATATCTTCTGTTTTTAAAATGTTTTATGGACATTTTTCATTTTAAAAATTGAGGCTTACGCCTCAAAACACCTTGAGGCTTATGTAATACGCCATGAAAAAAACGCCTCGAAACCGCAATACGCCACTTCGATCATCGCTTTTGATTTCGTCATTCACACAACCTTTACTCTTCATCTAATATTCATTTGGCTTTTGAAACATTGTTTTATTGATTTTCTAAAGCTATCCACTTATAGAGAGGGCAAGTTCCCAAACTTTTTGCAGTCTTCTATCCATTGGGGTGTAAACCTTAAAAAACTCTTCCAATTGTGGTTTAAAATTTTTGTGTGTATATGGTTCATGCGTAACCTACATGAGTACTTGTTTCCCAGGACTTAGAACAAGAGGCTGGAGTTGGAGCATCATTCAGTGATCCTAAATTTCTCCCAAACAATGGGGAACCTAAGGAGTTATTCTTGTCCAGTGATGCCAATGCTTTGGTTGAACACACAAAGAAGGTCTTGGTCGTTGAGGACGATGAAGTCATTCATATCAAGGTACTTTCTTATTGTCTTTACTGCTTATATGTACGGTGATAGCACATCTGGTAACCTTACTGATTTTACTATAGAATTATGAAGTCTTTGGCAGGTTTTTGCATTATTTCTGTTTTTTTGCACGTGACCAAAACTTAAGTGGTTTGTAAAATTATATGGATAGAGCATGTATTGAAGACTAATGGTATACTAAGTATTTGATATTTAGAGTATCAGATACTAATAGTTGTGGGGATTGAGGAACAAAATGTAGTTTCACATTTTTGGCTATGGAAATCATTTTGCATTCCCGGGTAATACATATGGCCGACCACATACATTCGTAGCTGAGAGGTGTTCTAGTCCTACACGGTGATGCAATGGACTTGCTGTATCCCAAGAAGATGCTTTGTAATAGAAGCTAGTTTTTCCGGGGTCAACCCCCTCCTACTCGATGAAAAGATTGTTATTAGATGCTATTTTCTGGTGCAATTCACCTCATTTAGTTTCTTATCGGAGATGAATAATATAGAATTATCATAATTTTACATCTCATGGTAATGACTTTCATATATTGTGGAGTCATTACCTATTGTTGTTTGTATTTCTTTAGTCTACATTTACTTAGCCCTTCAAAAAAAACATGTTGTTCAGATTATCTTTTCTCTTAATTTTTTTTGGAACCCTTTCCTTTTGTGCATTCTTTCCACCAGTTTTAGACTTGAAATGAATGCTATGAAATGTGCTAAAAAAATCTGCTATTTATTTATCTACATATGACTCATTTATTGCCAATATCCCATTTAAAATATGTGTCATGTCATCCCCAAACCTCGATTCACACCCATTCTTATTGTTATCTGAACTTTAAAACAGTTTTTTTTTACTTGATATTGGTGTGGATTCCTTAGAGCTTTTGGCCTATTCTTTTTTCAGGATGGAGGTTTTACAATTTATAAGTTTGAACAAACAAAAAAGCATGGTGGCACTCTTGCCCGGCCTGGCTCTGTTCAACGTGCCTTGTCCATTCTTGAGATGGAAGTGGAGCAGGTAAATAAAGGAAAATATGAGCATTATATGCAAAAAGAAATTCACGAGCAGCCAGAGTCTTTGACAACTACAATGAGAGGGAGGCTTATACGTGGAGGATCAAGTAAAGCCAAATCTGTGCTGTTAGGGGGCTTGAAGGATCATCTCAAAACGATAAGGAGAAGCAGAAGGATCGTTTTCATTGGGTGTGGCACAAGTTATAATGCAGCTTTAGCTGCAAGATCAATTGTGGAAGAACTTTCTGGTTAGTAGTTGGTTAGCCTTATTGTTGAGTATCCTACATTAGTTGTCTATTATGATCCATTCGGGGCATGTTAAATATCACTTCTTGAGGATCCTTTTGAGGTGAGTTAGGTCCAAATGAATATGGTATGAGAGATTTTGGTCCGAGGCTGGTCTTTCAGGCGCCTTACACTCGATAATTTAGGGCAGCCCATTTGGGTTGGGCGAATATGAAGCGATTCCGAATTCGCTTTGTCTACGAACAAGGAAGCTATAAGTAATGCAACTATGAATCTCATGGAGAGTTTGACATGCAAGTCGGACGGGTGAGTAGCGCGTAAGAACCTGCCCTCTCCCGTAGGTCGAGTGACTTCGTACCTCTCCCTTTGGTCGTACCTCTTCGAATGAGTTGAACATAGTTCATCGAATCTCTCTAGCAACTTCGTGCCTCCCACCTTTCGGCGAGATATTTGCCGTGAGCAATGCGACCTTTCTATTCCCAGTTTCATTCTTTCTCTATCAATTTCGCGAACATACTGGTGAATAAACATACCAGTTGGTATGTTAACTTGGATCCATCAATGTCCATTATCCACCCTTTGAGTTGTCCAGCCAGATTTTGGGCTAAGGTTCTTTGTAGAGTGTTCTTCATACTGGTTTATGTCTGGTTAATAAGATTGAGGAGGTAAATCTCATCTAATGATGAAAATCTTTTTAGGAAAATTAGGTCCAATTTAATACTCATGAAGATTTGTGCCTGGCCTTTATTTTGCATGTGCCAAGTCTTTTTTTCCTCTAACAGGCATTCCCGTGACAATGGAGATTGCAAGCGATTTAGTTGACAGGCAAGGGCCAATATACAGGGAAGATACAGTTGTCTTTGTTAGTCAGTCAGGAGAAACTTCTGATACCTTGCAAGCGCTAGATTATGCCTTGGGAAATGATGCATTATGTGTTGGAATCACAAATACTGTCAGTAGTGCAATAGCCAGGAAAACTCACTGTGGTGTGCATATAAATGCAGGATGTGAGATTGGTGTGGCCAGTACTAAGGTATGTACCATTATTCTTTTTGCTTGGTTTTGTCCTATGTTCTATAATCTTGTTTCCAAATGCGAGCTAAGTCTCACCTTGAGATTTTTTCTGGAATGGGTTAAATTTCAACTTAAAAAGAAAGATGATTTTTTCTTTGTCGATTTCTTTTTGAATAATTATCATGTCCTGGTTGACAGGCATACACAAGCCAAATTGTAGTGATGGCTATGCTGGCACTTGCAATTGGAGGGGACACACTTTCGAATCAAGCAAGAAGAGAAGGAATAATTGATGGGCTATTTGAGTTGCCTTGTATGTACTCATTTTCTTAAATGAAGCCTGTGCATTTTATTTTGTGCGTGTGTTTGTGTGCATAGAGAGAGAGAGAATCTAACTGCATATATTTTCACCATTAAACGCAGCAAAAGTTAAAGAGGTGCTGAAGCTTGACCAGGAAATGAGAGATCTCGCTGAGCTGCTGATTGCTGAGCAATCACTGCTTGTGTTTGGGCGAGGTTATAACTATGCCACAGCACTTGAAGGTGCCTTGAAGGTTAAGGAAGTGTCTCTGATGCATAGTGAAGGGATCCTTGCTGGTGAAATGAAGCACGGCCCTTTAGCTTTAGTTGATGAAAATCTCCCTATTCTTGTGATCGCCACTCATGACGCTTGTTTTAGGTATGTCAGATATATAATTGCTCAATCTATCATTTGTAATCTTTCTAAATTATGAGGGTGTCTAAAATGATACCAGTTACTTGTGCACCAATTGCTTCCTCTAATTCGTTTGGAGCACCTATGGTGCCCCGTTGGTAAAAATGATGGTTTCTACCCCCACTAACCTCCCCCCTAAACCCCCAACCGCAGCCCACCCCTCCCTACCTTGGCAGGAAGCAAATGTTACCAGTAGCACTGGTTTCATTTTAGACTACCATATATATATATATATATATATATATATATATATATAGAGAGAGAGAGAGAGAGAGAGAGAGAGAGAGAGAGAGAGCAATCTAATGAAAGAAATAAGAATGCATCTCGTGCATTAAATGTAAGATCAAAGGGCTTGAGAAATTCAAAAAAAAACTGAAAAAATATGAAAAAACGCGGTGCAATTATAGTAAATAAGTTAAACTTTACTCCTAGTGCCGAAAATGCACTACCACAATGTAAAAATGCATCGTGACGGCATAAAAAATGCACCATTCTCATGATAAGGTAGTTCTCGCAATAAGGATCATTCTCACTTGAATCAATCCCTATATGTGTGTGTGTATAGGGATTGACTTCAGTGAGATGACACCTTACGGTGAGATGACATGCTTTGGTGAGATGACACCAAGCTCACCACATTACACTGCAAAGCTCACCAATGGCCAATGCAAAGCTCGGCTAAAAATAAAGCAAAGCTCACCACTTTGAACACCAAAACTCACCATTTTTAAAATTTTTAAAAATTTAAAAATTAATGAAAAATAAATAGCAACACCAGTCAGCAGCGGCGTCCAGCGACCGACGACGGCCAGCGACGGAGCAACGGCGGCGACAGCAGGTAGCCGGTGGTGGCAGGCGGCGGCCAAAGGTGGCGGTCAAAAGTGGCGGTCAAAGGTGGCGATCTTCTTCTTTCAATTTCTTTTCTCTCTCATCCTCCCAGTCTTCTTCTCCGATTCTTCTCTACTCCAATTCTTCTTCTTTTTCTTTCATTCTCTCATCCTCACAATCTTCTTTTGTGATTTCCTCCACATTTCCAAGCAATGGGATCTTCAAGAGTCTTCTTCTCAGGTTCTATATCACCTGGTCTGGATCTTTTTCTTCTACAGATCAGAGCAATGTGTTTCATCTTCCACAGATCCGACTAGCACATGAGCTGTAAATAGTCTTCTTCTCAGATTCTATATCACCTGGTCTGGATCTTTTTTTCCCACAGATCAGAGCAACGTGTTTCGTCTTCCACAGATCCGACTAGCACATGAGCTGTGCTGCAAATCTTCTTACGATCGTTTCTCATCTGTCCGTCAAGATGGTGGAGACTATCAAGATTGGATGTGGTCATGTGGGACAGAAATCTGGGGTGGGGCTGAGCGGCAGGTAGATGGTGGAAATCGGGGATGATGAACAATTGGGAGCAGGGGCAGTTGTGGGATACTGGGGTAGCCTAGGGGTAATTGCGTCACTTTACTCATCACCTTGGTATATGTGCCATATTGAAAGTGGCAAAGTGGACAAAAACTAGGGGACGAAGGGAGTATTTTAGTATTAATAACTGTTCCAAAAAAGTCCCATTTCATCAAATGACACTGATTTCTCATGTAGTTTACCAATAGTCTGCCAAAAAGTTACAAGTTAGATTGTTAAATATGATACGGTTGGTTGAACATCAAATTGTGTCCATTGCCAAAAGAGCTAAAAAGTCAATGACACATTTAATTTCTCTTGCTTCTTGCATTGTATTTAGTGTTGGTGAGTACAAGCATCAATGCAACTAGCATCTAACAAAACAGCCTCTTTGTTTTTTACATGGGATAAGGTTGCATACCTCTAGACCTCCGTATCTTAATGAAGTTGGGATTATAAAGGATATGTTGTTGTTGCTGAACATCAACAACTTATTTACAAAGTACTCATACAAACAAGATTTCGTGTATTTCAATAACTGTACCGTTTAAAAATTGTTCCTCGAAGAATTGGACCATATTTTGGGATACACTCTTCTTTCGGGAAACCTATTCTCTTAAGGGCTTAAGTGCAAGGCCCAACGTAACCAGTCATTTTTTCTCTTCAATAGCATCTACACCCCACCTTCTCGTGAATTTTCTAATTGTACACTCTTTTGTAGTCTTCCCCCGTAGTTAGTGCACATGCATTGGAACATATTTCTGTACTTTTGTATTGCTAATATTTTTAAATTTGAAATCAGCAAACAACAATCAGTCATTCAGCAGCTCCATGCCCGGAAAGGTAGATTGATAGTTATGTGTACAAAAGGAGATGCAGCATCTGTTTGTGTTAGCGGATCATGTCGTGTCCTTGAGGTTCCTCATGTTGAGGACTGTTTGCAGCCCGTAATTAACGTAATCCCATTGCAGGTAAGCAAGTAAAAATGACTTTTCTGCCTTTTATGGGCTCATCTTTGTGTTTGATCTTCTTGTTCTTGCACAGCTATTGGCATACCATCTAACTGTTCTTCGCGGATACAATGTTGACCAACCTCGGAATCTAGCAAAGAGTGTCACAACGGAGTAAACATTCCAATGTCACCAAAAAACCTTTTGGATTTCTGCAACTGTATTGTTATTTATAAGCAATTTGTTATAGAGTCAGGATATCTTCTTGCCTGGATTTTGTATTCATTTACAGTGATTTTTTAATCAAGCGCGAATTTTTTTATATTCTATTGTTTAGCTGAATTGGGCTCTAATTTATTTAATAGAGTATCATTATTTGAAACTAGCCCCTTCAAATTGGCTCAAGATGTGATAGCGGCCAGATTAGTAAGGCGCCAAGCTCCAAGGTATGCCATCGAAGATGAGAAACTAAACAAGAAGCCGTATAACGGTACGTTACTTCGATGTTTGCATGAGCCACATTCTCAACAAGTAATGAACGAGGTTCATGAGGGTATTTGTGCTTTACTTCAAGGCCCATACAGTATAACAAGGAAGATGTCTTGCACGGCTATTTCTTGCCTGGCATGGTTAGGGCTTGTGCCGAACACGTCAAGAAATGTCTAGTGTGCCAGCAATTCCAAACAATGCATGGCCAACCTGGAATCAACCACACGCCAATCAGCTCGTCAATTCCCTGTATGCAATGGGGGATTGTCATAGTGGGACTTCCTCCCCAAGCGCCACGAAACTATTGATCGATAATCGTAACAATCAATTATTTTACGAAGTGAGTAGAGGCAAAGCCTTTTGCAGTATCGCCGATGTAAGTAGGAGCATACTGACGCATTACGATGTACCAAAGATCATTACAAATAAGGGGCCAATTTCAAAGAGTTGTTATTTGAAATGACCCGTGCAACGCACGGGTGATAAATTGGGCTCTAATTTGAAGGGGCCAATTTCAAAGAGTTGTTATCTGAAATGACCCGTGCAACGCACGGGTGATAAATTGGGCTCTAATTTATTTAGTAGAATTATTTTTCTTCTATTGTTTAGCTGATTGTTTAGTATCACTCTCGTGCGTTGCACGGGTTACATTTATGTTATTAAATTAAGATCATTTTTGAAGGATACAAATTCTTATCTAATAGAATATAGAGATTTTATTATTTTAAAGTACAAAAGTCAATTGTTTTACAAATATCGAAAGATTTCTTTATAAACTATGTTACTGGTATAGTTTGTGGAAAATTTGTTTGCGTTGCTTATCAAAATCTTGCGTTGCATAACAATTTGTCTTTGTTATATACTCTTTAGCGTATTAATTAGTGTGTATTGATTTTGCGCTGTATCCTTAATAATAATGCACCAAACTCTTATTATTTTCTTCTTCAATACATGTTTTATTTTTATTCTTACTTTACAAAATTTTTTTTTGAAAAGGAATTTTTTTATTTCTAAACAAATTTCCATTGTACAAAACTTGAAGTATAATTCTGGAAAAGAAAACCTGTGCATTGCATAACATTGTCCTTTTAATTTCTTACCATTTTTAAATACCTAACTGCATTATCACATAAATATCAATTTAAAGGATATTTAATCATTACGTTTTTATTTAATTCTTAAAGTCATATATGTAGAATAATATGTGGAATAATTTAAGTCCCTTTCTTACCATTTTTAATGATTACCATTTTTATTTATTTTTCTCCTTTAATCCTTATTTAATTCTTAATAATGCACCACACTGTTATTATTTTCTCCTTCAATATTTTTTTATTTTTATTATTATTTTACAAATTTGAATTTATTTATTTTTGAAATGGATTTTTCTATTTTAAAACAATTCTCCATCGTATAAAATTGAAAGTCTAATTCCGGAAAAGAAAATCGGTGTGTTGCATTACATTGTCCCTTTAATTTCTTACCATCTTTAAATATTTAACAATTTCATCACATAAATATATATTTAAAGGATATATAATTCTTACCTTTGGATTTATTTGTTAAAAGGCGTATATGTATAATAGTTATGAGAAATGCTAGAGTCACAAACACTTTGGTCACAAAATACACAACCTTACTATTTGTGTATTTAAATGTTTACTTTTTAATTATTCAACATCATTTTATTAATTTAGTGAGGTGCACAAATAACAAGGTTGTGTATTTTGTGACCAAAGTGTTTGTGACTCTAGCATTTCTCAATAGTTATAGTCCATTTTAGTTATTACTTTTTTGATTATTTCCACTTTCAATAACATAATAATAATCAACATAAATCTTACCATTTCTAATGATTCGTATGTAGAATAAAGCAATGTAATATCACAGTCATCGATCAAGAATTGATCAAGAATGTATTAATTACACTGTAGAATAGGGTTTACACACATTCGTATAGTATTTCATTAATAGCGCAATTAATGGCATTTTATTAATTAACAATTAAACTTCACAATTATCCTATGTAATGACTGTCAGTCTTGAGCGGGAAATCACAAACACCACTTCCCCTCTTTTTAAATAAAGTATGAATTATTAGATTGGCTCAATCGCCCCTTTGATGAGAATATTTTTTTTGTAATTTTCATTTTTATATCCATTTCCCTGTGGAGCTAAAGATTCACTATTTTTTCGACTTTAGGACATGATGAAATAAAACAAATTGTCTTTTTAAAATATATGCTCTTGCAATAGTGAAGTAGCAGTTAGTCAATGCAACTTTTGACCCTCATCAAGTCATCATGTATCATTTGGAAATAATCGCTTTATGTTTCAGACATAGGGATTAGACTGCGTACATTTGACCCCCTTACCCCGCAATGGGTTGGAGTCATTGAGGCACTGAGGTATTGTTGTTATAAGTTGAAATTGGCTAAAAGGAAGATGAATCACCTGTCTATGAGAATCATCTAGAAACTTAATTTGGTGATAGACCCATAGTTCCCATTCTCATTTCTCAGTTACAGACGAGATGAAAGAAAAAGAAATGTGATTTGATTCTTCATTTTTTTTCTTGAGATGTTATAAGGAGTATTAAAATTTTACATCCCAAAAGAGATTTTGCAAATACGATAATGCGATAGAGCATGTGACAATATAGCTTAGGCATATAATGCAAAGGTGGAACATTCACATTGAGTTTGACATCCACCCTTAAGACCATCTGAGCTATACATACGGGTAACTTAGGCATATAATGCAAAGGTGGAACATTCGCATCGAGTTTGACAACCACTCTAAGACCATATAAGCTATCCATATAGGTAACTTAGGCATATAATGCAAACTTTGGTAGAGTACAATAATGTCCAAGAGTCACAAAGTGGGATGACACTTCACTATCTTATTGTTTTAAATACATACAAATACAGAGTATTATATGTTGGGAAAAGTTGCTATCGTATCTTAGTGTTATCCATTTTTTTGACAAACACAAATTCATTGAATCAAGGTTTATGAGAATAAAAAAATGTAGGATAGCACTTAATACACTATAACAAAGACCTTATTTGTTACTGTTACAAGATATGATGCATCCAAAGTCTCCCAATGTCTTGTATCTTTGCACCCCACGTTGCAAAAACCATTAAGCTAGAAATAATAATTTTAAAATAAACCATATTAAATGTGATAAAATAAGTTAAATTCATACAAGTATAATTAAAACTAACTACAGAGTAAAATCTTATAATTTGTATTCACTAAGTCCAACCAGCATTTTAAGTCAATCTCTTGCTTATTTGCAAAATAAAAGTAACATTTACTTCTTAGATATCTCAATATAAAGTCTATAGTTCATTATTTTTTATTCATGAAATGGATATATTACATACAATACTTAAAAAATCAATTAGCCACTTCATATGGCTTAGGACAAAACAAAGCCTGTATACCATCCTTATTTCATATGGCTTAGGATAATGTATCAAAGCATGCATGTTCACATATGGAGAACACGTAATACTTCAAGTTGAAGGATAGTTACACCTGTGGTCGCGCTAAAGATGCTTAGAGCATGAATTAAAAGTTCAAGTAACATCTTTAGGATGGGTCAGTCCGGCATCCTATTATCTCTAGATAATATCTGCCCATGTGCGGATGCGAACACACCGTCATTGACTATGAGATTAAGTCAAACATCCAACACACACTAGTCTCAGATGCATTAACGATATCCCGCTCTCGTTAATACTCAACTTTGGACATTCAAATAAATATTCATTTCAAGATGTTAGTTTCATCAGTAGAAAAATAATATCTGATAAACATTTTTAAATATAAATCTAGGAATATAATATTTGTTTACATTAGCATGAGATATATAAACATATTATATCCGCCTATACATGATAAAATAATGATAAAAGTTGGCCATCAGGGCACAACTCGAACATTCTCCCACTAGCACTATGGCCAATCAAGCATCGGTCGAATGCCCATGGACCTAGTGTGACCCTCATGATTTAGCTTTCCTAAACGCTTGGTCAAGGGATCAGTTATGTTGTCGTCAGTATCTTCTTTGCAAATCGTCACATCTCCTCTGTCTACGATATCTCATATGATGTGATAGCGTCGTACAATATGTTTAGTTTTCTGGTGAGATCGCGGTTCTTTTGCCTGTGCAATGGCCCCAGTGTTGTCGCAAAACAACGAGATAGGGTCATTAATACTAGGAACCACTCCAAGTTCAGTAATGAACTTCTTGATCCAAACAGCTTCTTTAGTTGCCTCGACAGCAGCTATGTACTCAGCCTCTGTAGTCGAATCGGTGGTGGTATCTTCCTTGAAGCTCTACCAGCTAAAAGCACCGCCATTCAGGCAAAAAAAATATCCTGCTTGTGATTTTGAGTTGTCTCTATCGGTTTGGAAGCTAGCATCAGTGTAACCGATCACCTTTAGCTCTTCCTCACAACTGTATACCAGGAATGCATCCTTAGTATTTCAAAGATACTTGAGGATGTTCTTGACCGTTGTCCAGTGTGCTTCTCCTGGACTTCTCTGATATCTGCTGGTCACGCTTAAAGCGAATGAGACATTAGGTCTAGTACATATCATGGTGTACATGATGGATCCAATCGCAGAGGCGTATGGAACCTTCATCATGAGTTCCTTCTGCTCGGGAGTACAAGGAATTTGGTTCTTGGAAAGAGTTGTGCCAAGTGTCATAGGTAAAGATCCTTTCTTTGAGTTAGACATGCTAAATCGATCAAGGATTTTATCTATATATGTACTTTGATTCAGACCTATTAACTTTCTTGATCTATATTGGTAGATTCTTATGCCAGGGACATAACTAGCATCCCCTAAGTCTTTCATGGAGAAGTTCTCACTCAACCACGTCTTTACATAAGGTAGAGCGGGAATATCGTTACCCATTAACACTCCCACTGACCTTCTTGTATACACAAGATTCGTCAGAGTTCTTCTCGAAACCAAAACTGGAAATGGTTTCGTCGAAGTGTATGTACCAACTCCGAGATGCTTGTTTCAATCTGTAGATTGAACGTTGCAGCTTACAAACTTTGGCACACTGACCAGCAATTTGAAAACTGTCAGGCTGTGTCATGAAGACATCCTCTTTGAGGTTCCCGTTAAGAAAAGCCGTCTTGACGTCCATCTGCCAAATTTCGTAATCGTAATAGGCTACAATCGCAAGCATTACCCGAATGGATTTCAGCATAACAACGGGAGAAAAGGTTTCGTCATAGTCAATTCCGTGAATTTGTCTATAACCTTTTGCTACCAATCTAGTTTTGAAGGTATGGACCTTCCTGTCTACGTCTGTCTTCTTTTTGAAGAACCACTTGCATCTAATGGGTTTTACCTCTTCGGGCACATCAACCAAGGTCCAGACTTGGTTTGTGTACATAGACTTCATTTCAGATTTCATGGCTTCGAGCCATAGATCGGATTTGGGGCATGTAATTGCCTCGAGGTATGTCTATGGTTCGCCTTGATCTACCAACAAGACGTCACCTTCATCAGACATGAGAAATCCATATCTGACTGGAGGATTACGTATCTGGTCTGACCTACGTGGTATATCTTGAGCAATTTGAGGTTCAATTGCTTGATCTCTTTGCTCAGGTTCCAACACTATCGAGACATCTTCTTGTGGTTCTCGAGTTTCTTTGAGGTCTACCTTTCTCCCACTAGTGATAGCAGAGAGAAACTTCTTCTCAAGGAAGGTTCCATTCCAAGCAACGAAGATTTTGTTATCGGATGGATGATAGAACTCATACCCTCTAGTTTCCTTGGGGAATCCCACAAAAATTACTTTATCAGATTTAGGCACCAACTTACTAGACGTCATGAGACGTTTTACATAAGCTTCACATCCCCAAATCTTAAGTTACGAGAGACTCGATTTTCTCCCACACCATTGTTCGTATGGTGTGCTCTGGACAACTTTAGATGGAACTCTGTTGAGTGTGTGTGCTGTTGTTTTCAATGCATATCCCCAAGATGATTCTGGCAATGTTGTCAGACTAATCATGCTTCGGACCATGTCAAGCAAAGTCCCATTTCTCCTCTTAGACACTCCATTTAACTGAGGTGTCCCCGGAGGAGGGAGTTGGGATAAGATCCCATGCTCTTTCAGATAGTCATCGAACTCCAGGCTTAGGTATTCACCTCCTCGATCCGAGCGGAGGGTCTTTATACTTTTGCCTAATTGTTTTTTACTTCGTTTCTAAATTCTTTGAATTTGTCAAAGCATTTCAATTTGTTTTTCATGAGATACACATATCCACATCTACTAAGGTCATCAGTAAATGTAACGAAGTAAGAATAACCACCTATAGCTATAGCGCTAACTGGACCACACACATCGGAGTGTATGAGGCCCAATAAGTCACTCGCCCTTTCACCGTGACCGGTGAATGGAGCGTTTGTCATTTTACCAAGCAAACAAGATTTACATACATCATATGACTGAAAGTCAAATGAATCAAGTACACCTGAGCGATGTAACTTAGATATGCGTTTCTTGTTAATGTGGCCCAAACAACAATGCCAAAGGTACGCGAGATTCAAATTATTAGGTTTGTTTCTCTTAACATCTACATTATATATTGCGGTATCCATGTCAAGGACATAGAGACTGTTGGTCATTTTTGTAGTTGCATAAAATATATCATTTTTAAAGACAGAAAGAGTTTTGTCTTTTACAACAAACGAAAATCCTGTTTTGTCAAGGCAGGATACAGAAATGATGTTTCTGCTCATACTAGGTACAAACAGACAATTATTTAACTGCAATACAAGACCAGTAGGCAGAGATAAACTATAGGTTTCAACAGCTAATGCATTTACGAGTGCGCCGTTGCTGACTTTTACTTGAATCTCTCCCTCCGTCAACTGTCTACATTCATGCAAGTCCTGCATAGAAGTACAAATGTGAGAACCACATCCAGTATCCATCACCCAAGAGGTGATATCAGACATATTGACTTCAATAACGAAGATACCTGAGGTTTGAGATTTCTTTCCGTCTTTCCTCTCTGCGAGTAATTTTGCATAGTTGCGCCTCTAGTGGCCCTTTTTGCCACATTAATAGCATACTACAGACTTCTTCTTAGCTCCTTTTATGGTTTTTAACAAAGATGAGATGGACGCTGGCCTGGGTTTCTTAGAACCCTTGCGCTTGGTCCCAGTCAGCGAACGTGACCCACTCCTCTTCGTAACAGTACTGCCCTCTACCATCAGGACAGACTTACCCTTGTCCTTCCCTAAACTCTCCTCAGTAGTTTGTTTATGTAGAAGTTCACTATAGTTTGACTATACTCAGCTGGTAGTGATCCCAAGATGAGATCAATTGCCAGCATGGGGTGCAACGGGGCGTCCGGTTTTTCAAGAGTTTCGATCTGATCGATCATCTTGAGAATGTGGAGACCAACTGAGTTACCTGATGTACCCCTGGATGGCTCCACCAAAACCCCAAAATCCAAAACAACACCAAAACCCTAATCTCCTCTCCTCTTCCTTCTTCTCCCCCTCTGGCCGAAACTACAACCCATCAACATACCCCACATGATTTTGTTCATTGAATTAAAACATAAAAGACCAAAACTCATGTCAAACCACAAACCTAATCAAGCCCCTCTTTGTCCCCATGTAAGGCCGAAACTAGGGGGGCCAAAAACAACCCCTCTTTTATTCCCCAACATTGACCAACCATTGTCCCCCTTGTGTCTCCCACCTAGGCTGGATAAACAATAACAAAAGGACAAAAGACTTGTGAGTTTATTGACACTCCACCCACCAAATCAGTCCCCACATACCTTCCATGAATGACCCAATATAAGGCCAATAAAACCAACCATCACCCATCCCCTTTGTCCCCCATTATTTCCCAAGAATCATCACTTATTTCCTTGTGATTTTCCTCACTAAAGGACAAGCCACCAGCCATGAAAATTAAAGACCAAATCCCTGATTTCATTCCATTAAGAAAACATAAACAAATGGATATTATTCTTGTGATTTGTGAGTGGATGTTTCTGGGAAGTTTCCCCTCTATGTGTGTGTATTTATTTC